ACAGTAGGCCTCACATCGTACAACAAACTTATAAGAAGTGAAGAATTAGGATAAGAAACTCTCCCACTTCCAGCACATTCGGAACCAGCCCCCACCGACTACCACCACTTGAAGCATCCCAGTGAAGAAATCAAAATAGTGAACGCAAAAGAAATGCGAATAAGAAATGTTTATGCGAAATCTCCGTTTGACTGCAAAGGAGGTGCAGAGAAATTGAGTTCATTGCTTCTCGTAGAGGCAGACAACCTTCGTTTTCTGACCAATATCCACAGCGTTGCATCCATACTTCGTGCCTGCAGGAAGGTTGCGAACCTGGAAAAAAATCCATGTAATAAAATCCATCCACGATTAAACAAATCCTTCTCCTTAACCTTAGCAAGGATTCTCAACGAGAAACTTTTTGCGGCGGAGCTTTTCCATCAGCCCGCAAGCAATCACAGAAAGAAATCCTGGCAGGAAACTGTGTGCTCCATCATATTTCGGTATATTTCATTTCTGGCGCGGAAGCTGTTGCATAGCTTCAACGCTGGAAAAGAACCTCCATTGCTATGCCATTTTTACCGAGAATGAAAGGAAAACCTTAATCTTAAGACGTAATGGCGCTCCCTATTACTCACCACGTTGACTTGCGCTTCATTCTTGAATGCATTGAAGAGAGTACTTCGTATTTTGCTCGATCTCACGGGGGATGTGGAGAACGTCCTTAAGAAACATAGTTGCTCTGAGGGAAACATGAGGGTGAACATAGCAGCGAGCAGATACGAACTTTTCTGCCGTGAGCTTGTCAAAGCCATGTGAGCCTAATTCACCGATAGCTTCCTTGCAAGCCCGCTCGGAAAGATCTTCGTCCCATACCTGCAATCAGGAATCACTTCAGTGCCAAGGAATCTCGTTTGTAAGAGGCTGCGTTCATAGTAATAGGAGGAAAAGGACTCCAGCATCCATGGAACCACTAATGTGTGGTGTGCTCCTGAGAAATACTTACCAAATTTTTGTTAAGGTTGTAGTGGAAGTTCGAGTACAAGCGCTCCTGGTAGTAGTCTGGCACGCAATCTAAAAGCGTTACTGTTTTCTTATGAATAAGCGGGCCCTTGTTCGGCTTGGGTGGGCATTTTGCACTTTCGCAGTTCCTATTGTTAGTTCATGTCAAGCAATAGGTTTCACTATGGTTAAATCCCGGTGAATCTGCGAAATTGTGAGTGAGGCTTGGTCACAGGAATTCGCAGGTAGTCAGGGGGTGGCCTGCACAACTCAGCCGAGCACCATTCGGTGCCCCCCCCCCAAGCCGAGCTGCGAAACCGATGAGGGCGGTGGACCTCAAGTACCGCCCAAGTATAACAAAAAGCACTTACAGTCTGCGTAGGCGTTAATGATGAAAATGCAGAGTACTGTGAGAGCGAACAGCATATTGTTTGCGATGATTCGCTGTCACAGCCCATCCCTTTTATACATGGGCTTCCTTTTATAGAAGCCATTAAGCCGAGGTTTTTCTATCATTCCCTGGAAACCCACTTCCAACAATTTCGGTCATTGTATTGCTTTTGTATTCACATGCTCTGGATAGAGTTGTACTTTTGGAAGAGGTTCTCCATGAAACTATTCCAGAAGAAAGTTCGTTGTGCAACAGTGCTCACAGGTGCTAACGATCACACAAAAGACGCATCTTCCGACATGACCGAATGGAACACAGTCACGCCACCTCCGCCAGATAGAGACTTCCTGTGAGAGTATTTATCCTGAACATTGATCGTTAGCACCTATGAGCACACTGTTGCACTACGAACTTTCTTCTGGAATGGTTTGATGGAGAACCTCTTCCAAAAGTACAACTCTATCCAGAGCATGTGAATACAAAAGCAATACAATGACCGAAATTGTTGGAAGTGGGTTTCCAGGGAATGATAGAAAAACCTCGGCTTAATGGCTTCTATAAAAGGAAGCCCATGTATAAAAGGGATGGGCTGTGACAGCGAATCATCGCAAACAATATGCTGTTCGCTCTCACAGTACTCTGCATTTTCATCATTAACGCCTACGCAGACTGTAAGTGCTTTTTGTTATACTTGTGCGGTACCTGAGGTCCCCGCCCCATCAGTTTCGCAGCCAATATGCCTCACTCAGAATTTCGCAGATTCACCGGGATTTACAAGTTCAACCATAGTGAAACCTATTGGTTGACATGAACTAACAATAGGAACTGCGAAAGTGCAAAATGCCCACCCAAAGCCGAACAAGGGCCCGCTTATTCATAAGAAAACAGTAACGCTTTTAGATTGCGTGCCAGACTACTACCAGGAGCGCTTGTACTCGAACTTCCACTACAACCTTAACAAAAATTTGGTAAGTATTTCTCAGGAGCAGTTCCATGGATGCTGGAGTCCTTTTCCTCCTATTACTATCAACGCAGCCTCTTACAAACGAGATTCCTTGGCACTGAAGTGATTTCTGATTGCAGGTATGGGACGAAGATCTTTCCGAGCGGGCTTGCAAGGAAGCTATTGGTGAATTAGGCTCACATGGCTTTGACAAGCTCACGGCAGAAAAGTTCGTATCTGCCCGCTACTATGTTCACCCTCATGTTCTCTTCAATAATATGGTGTTTAAGGACATTCTCCACATCCCCAGTGAGATCGAGCAAAATACGAAGTACTCTCTTCAATGCATTCAAGAATGAAGCGCAAGTCAACGTGGTGAGTAAGGTGGAGAGCGCCATTATGTCACACGATTAGGGTTTTTTCCTTTTTTTTGGTAAAAATGACATAGCAATGGAGGTTCTTTTCCGGCGTTGAAGCTATGCAATAGCTTCCGCGCCAGAAATGAAATATACCGAAATATGATGGAGCACACAGTTTCCTGCCAGGATTTCTTTCTGTGATTGCTTGCGGGCTGATGGAAAAGCTCCGCCGCGAAAAGTTCCTCGTTGAAGGCAGCGCCCGCGTTCAAAAAAACACCAAAAGAAATGCATAGTTCCTAGTACTTCTGGTGAGTTTTTGTCGTTTGTTTGGTATTTTAGATCTCTTTTTTGTTTTCTAGTAGTTTTTAAGGTTGTATTGTTGTAGTATTTGGCTATCGAACTACTCCTACCCCAGTCTGCGAAATCAGGCCAATTTTCATCGATTTTTTTTCTAGAGGGGCAGATTTGGATGGAAATTTGTTACAGTGGTTTTCATCGATTTTGGTGATTTAGGGTATTTTGGCGCCGCGCCACAGGCGCCGGGGCCAAAATATCCCTGAATCACCAAAATCGATGAAAACTTGTATACGGGGGTTATTTGACATCCTGATTACGAATATGATATTTATTCTTGGCGCCAGCGCTAACGTAGGACACTATGGTCATCTGCGCTTTGCCAAGACTAAGCCTGACCTGCGTTTCCCTTTTTCTCAGTTTCAGCCTCAGCAGGGTGCCGGTATGGAAAATGATGTCACACTCGTGATCAGGACATCGAATAACATCTATAGACAAAGTTTCAGCATAAATTTTTTTTTGAGTTTTTGGCGTAGGAATAGTTCAATAGCGCCCAGTTCTCTTTATTGTCATTTTCTTCGTCCCTTTTGCGCTTCTTTTCATTTGTACCCTCGTGACAGGGGGGTCGTATTAAGACCCTAATTCTGGGGGGGTCGTAATTAGCGGGAAATGATCACAACGCAATGGCGTGCCCTGCGTGGAGAGAAGCAGCACTGGAACAACCGCACCATCAGGCAACCATTAGAAATGAAGTTGGGCGTCGTGGTCGCCAGGTGGGCGGGGCGGTCGACTCTTTACTAGCGATAGGCGCTATCCTCTCGCCTTTGTGAGATGCAAAACTAGTACATACTGCATCCTTATGGGGAGGGCTATGATATCCAGAAAGGGCGTAGGAACATCAAGTAAACGTGGGCGCTGCCTTTGAGCATTCCTTCCTAAGGTTAAGGCGACGAATTGGTTTAATCGTGAACGGATTCTATCACATGGGTTTTTTCCAGGTTCGCAACCTTCCTGCAGGCACGAAGTATGGATGCAACGCTGTGGATATTGGTCAGAAAACGAAGGTTGTCTGCCTCTACGAGAAGCAATGAACTCAATTTCTCTGCACCTCCTTTGCAGTCAAACGGAGATTTCGCATAAACATTTCTATTCGCATTCTTTTGCGTTACCGTACCGACATTTCGAGCACGAGAATCGAATTTCTACTTCATGCTGTGCATCGACAAACATTGGACACTTGCCATCTCAGTTGAGGCTTCTTGCGGTGGCCTGGACTGATCATCCTCTGTGAAACAGATAGCTGCAATTGTGGATGGCTTTTGTCAAGCCTGTAGGAGGGAATTCAAGAGTTTAGATGGTCCTTGATTGACTAACTTCATCATTCACCTGGCATAGAAGATTTACACTTACGTCAAAAAAATAACGCGAAATGAGGAAAGCTCAATTTTGTTCTCAGCGGTTCGGGGGCGTTCAGGCAGTAGGAATGTACCGTGACGCAAAACCCATCCTTTGCCTGTTGTTGAAGCGAGTTCGCAACAAGCCTAGCCCCTTGATCACTTCAGCAACTATTGGGCCCGGTTTTGACGCGGTGCCATAACGGAACCCGTCTCTCCTGACACGCCCCTTCATCCACTGCGAACATGAATGTAATTCAGAGTTGAGACTTCACGTCGATGAGCTACAATTGCAACAGCGGTACAGAACAATACAGCCCAGACGGCCGATACTGATCGATACCTATGTGCGTGACTAGGTAACAAACACTCCCCCCTCCCCCATATTCTTCCGAAACATAAGCGGTTTTTCTCGTCTGCAAGGAGGTTGACGCTAACAGTTTTGGGGCGCTATTGAAATCTCAAAGCGTCGATACGCATTAGAGCGCGCTACAGCGCGTCCGCGTCATTGTAGAGTCCGAATGTTGCCTGCTTTAGTTGAAAGCTCTGTAATGGGTCGGATTAGAAATCATGTCATACCCACTTTGAGATACCATATGACTTGTCGTAGGAGGGTTTTTGTCATGTGCAAAATTGACAGGTCTACAGATGTGAAACTGTCGCTTCTTATCACTCATCACAGACTGATTTACCTTCCACCTGTTGCTGCTACCCTACCTTCGAGTAAGCCGACCACCACCACCAAGTCACGATTTCCCTCGTACTGGCTATGACTGTTTCCGATTGGCGATGCTACGTGGCAGTGCTACTATGGAAGCACTCATTGGTGTGGGGGCATTATTAAGTCGGAATCTGTACGACTCACCCAAAAACATTTCCACCTTTTTGTGGGGTGGTACGACCGCTTCGCGTCTGAAACCCTTATTTGTGTCCCTGCGCTCATCGAACGGAGGCCGTCGAGCCGGGGAGGGGGAGGGATAAATAACACATGAGAAACAGGAAAAGCCGCTAGACAATACGAGGTAGGGGGGGGGCATATAGTACGCGTACGACTCCCCCCATTTACCAACGTCGGTGAAGCGAGGGAGAAAATCTAACTGAGACAAAATTAACTTTATTTGCTAGCGCCCAAATACGACCTCCCCCGCTATTGGGAATTACCCAACAACGATGTGCTCTGCTATGGAATTCTCCGTTCTGCTGTCGGATCAATCCTTCAAATCGCATTTTATAGCTCAGGTAGTGCCGTTGTCTATACTTATCGTCGTCATCCGGGCAGTTGATCAGCCGACCCCAGGGGTCGCGACGCGGCTGCAGCGCGTCACGACCGCGGCGATCAGCTGTTTCCACCCTAATTCAGACGTTTGGACTCCAGCCAACTTCGGACACCGAGCTCGATTTTCGAAATTGCCTAAGTTACGAATCCGCTAAAAATGTATTTAGGGGTAGCTTGTCACACATCCCTGATTACGAATATGACATTCACTCTTGCCGCTGGCGCTAATGGATGACACTACGATTATCTGCGCTCTGCTAAGGCTGAGCCCAGGAGGTAATCGTAGTGTCATCCCTTGGCGCCAGCGCCAAGAATGAGTGTCATAATTGTAATCAGGATGGTAAATAACCCTTGTGTACATATTTTCAGCGGGTTTGGCGACTTAGGTAATTTAAAAATGAGCTCGGTGCCGAAGTTGCTGGAGTCCAAACGGCATTAGCCCAGCTGTTTCCGCAATAATTTAGCAATTTCCTCCCTAATTTTCACTGTATTTCCTTTTTTTTTCAAGATTATTTACGTTATTGTCTATATGAAGTTTAAACTCGTGAACTTTTTTATTTTCTCTCGTAATGGTGTGTTTTTCAGGCATTTGTCTAATTGTTTGTTTAATCGTTTAATTGTTCGCAAATGTTATAAAATTCCAATTATAATTTACCTTGTGAAGACAAGGAACTGCTAATCTTGGAAAAAGCAGCCAAAAACAGTGAAAAGTAGGGAAAAATGACTAAATTAGGCCGGAAAAAGCAAATAGTTCCTACGCACGCGGTCG